AGAGAAAAAGAAGAATTTAGACAAAAAGTCTCGGGCTGCAAATGAGCTCATTTAGTCGCTCTCATCTCCCGACCTCTTTCTGGTACAATCTGCGATTGCGTGAGAGGAATACAACTGTTCGGCATGTACACCCCAACTCTTTCTAACATTCAGCCACCCCAGAGAAAATGCCTCTAAGAAATGGAAAAGTGTCTTCAGGCATTAATTGATGAAAAGAAAAAAGACTTGTTATTGTGTATATGTCACAAAACACAGGGTAGACTCTAAAAGCACTTTTATCTACCCTTTGATATTATGTCCTTTTGTGTTGCTGGATATATTCACCGTTCCATCTAGAGTTTATTCACACTGTGATATATTACATATTTAGATGTCTTTTGCTCTGGTCTTTGTGATTTTGTCATAAACTATAGTTAGACTAAGCTTCTGTATCTGAACTGTGAAGCAGGAGGTAACACATTTGATTGCAAAAGTATGATTATGCAGAAATCAATTAACCTTTCCCTGGTAAATTTAAGGTCTCAGTCCCAAAATTAACATCTTGCTGAATAGAAGTCCTATGTGGAGTAAAATCGACAATAACTTTAAGACTGGTCTTGAGAAAAGCACTGACCGTAACTAAAATTAATTCAGTCAAAGTATGTTCACATTGAAAATGTTGGATTGACTTTGACATTACGAGCAGTGTCCACTAATGACCATCCAAACACTTTTTCTTTTCTTCTGTAGAATTTTCTAGTTGATGAGAGTCTTGAGAGACTAGATGAAGCGAATGAGTAACTGATCTAAAGAAAGAGTTCAATTGAGTTTCTAACAACACAAAGAAGGATAAAAAGCACAGAGAGCAGAGGAAACATTTAAAGGATTTCCACATCAGAGTGATTTGTTCATAAAAGGCAGCGTATGAGTGTTTAAGTAACTACATTAAAGAATAAATGTGTATAAATATCTTCTTACAGGTGGCCCAGATGGTCCTGGAGGTCCTTTACTGTCCTGAGAGCAGGTACAGGCATGAGGCATGGGAGGGCACTGCTCTTCAACTCTCTGAAAAGACAGTTCACAGAATGTGTGTGCAGTCTCTTTGGTCAATATTCAGGTCAGGCTTGAGCTGCACTAAAAACACACATAAACAGGCTTAGACTTTGCCAGAAAAAAACAGATAACACTTGTAAAACATGCTATCGTTGGCCAGTATGTCTTAGGTGTTTGGATCCGTGTTAAATTTACAGCCCAGTAAAACTAATATTTTTCATATTCAACAAATAATTTAATAACTCATATCATGATTTGGAGTTCTTTGGACAAACCAGCTAAAATTACATCTTTTTCTAACAGAAAAACATCTTTCCTCTTAAGAAAGTCAAAAACAATGTATTTTCAGTTTAAATGCAGCATAAACTCTTTTCTTTATTATTGCTACACAACTGCATAATTATTTACAAACTGTAAATGCAAACAATGTCCTTACAAAGTGCATTTAAATAAAGTTATTTTCAAAAATATACTTCAATGCGACGGAGTAATCAATACTTTTTGCATGCCTACTTTTTCATTGAGTAATCTGTACTTTTGAATGTAAGAGTATGGAGCATATTTGAAAATGCAAACACTCAAAAAAATCAGTAAAAAAAAAATCATGAATTTAGTAGTCTTGGGATTTTCATTTCATTCTTCTTGTGTATAGAGGAGCCCGTTTACATAAGGACATTAAGTTCACTAAACCATACCTGTCTTTAAAAATACAAAATAAGCTCAAAACGCTGGGTCCCAGCCCCAGCACACACTCTAATTGCCAGCTAACCACTAGCACTGAAGGCTGCATGACCCACGTGAAGACCCGAATTCTGAACCCCTGCCGACAGACTCCGACTTACTCAAGGGCTCTGCTAAAAACAGCCCATTGTTGCAAGGTAGTTACTAGGCAACACGGTGATATCATAATATCTACTTACCTGCATGCCAAGTTTGGCTGCTCAACTCCTGATCATGTAGGAGGAGTTGGCAGCCAAAGCAACACATAGTTACACAGAAAGTAACTGCCATGCATTTTATTACCCAGTGATGTGTTGATAACACTCAGGCCTCAGAGAAATTGGTTAGTACGTTGAGACATTGCATTTTGAACCCTATTGTACAGGTGTGCAATTAATAAGTATCTTAGTGTTTGCTCGGTGGATTACATTTTATGCCTGGGGCGTTAATTGATTGGTGCTACCATAAAGGCAGACACACACTTTTTGTATATGCATAATACGCAACTGGTTTCATTAAGAGAATTTCTTTAACATTAAACTAAATTAATTGAATGAGCATTTTGGCTTTGATTGGAACCATACTTATCACTTTAATTATATGGAGTTTTAATATTCTGTGAATAATGCACAGAAGAAGAGGTCAGGTACATACCAAATTATCTCATAGAGTAGGTTTAAGTAGAGGGAGAAATGTTACTTACCAATGCTGGCAGCTCACAACACTTATCTCTGCTGGCCCAGGAAGTACTGCAGATAATGTCAAACATCTGGAGCTGGAACTGTAAACACATGTGCATGTATGAGTACATATGGATATACACATAACCTCTGCATTAATACTGCGGTTGCGATGTACATTAGGTAAATAAAATGCTGAATTAAAAGAAAAGTTGCATTAGAAACTGAATATTACCCAGGATTTTTTGTAATGCTGTGTTTCTGCGTTGATAAGAAGACAGACAGCTTGGCTGCTTATGAACTTTAATAACAAGCTGAAATGTGCTGGAGGACAGATATATGGAGTCTAGCTGATTGCTTTAATAAACAAACTGGATGTTCTCAATGCTCCGCTAGTCTTGGCCTGGCTATAAATTATGTCACTGGCTTATGTCTGATTCATTTCGAAATTTTAGCATCAAAACTTAAGAGGGGCTCTGCTCCCGTACACTGTTTATTTTATTAGAAAAGCAGTGTTGACATTCCCAATACCTCTAACTTAGTCAACACTGTTTCCAGTGTAATGCATATACAATCAGAGACAACCTATTTTCGGAAACTCCCTCTTAATATTAAAAATAAATAAATAAAGCAGTTTCATCAAGGAAACAGAGTTCATGCTGAATATAGTAGAAAACTGTATTTCTTTACACTGTTGCATTATTCCTATAATCATCAGATTTACTTTGTCAATTATAATGATGGGATGCACATTTGTTTTCAGATACGCTGATAAAAGTCTCAAGGTCATTAAACAAAAATCAGTTAAATTACATTTAATTTAAAAGATACCCAACACCCTTATTTACATAATATCATCAGATGATAAATAAAACCATATGCAGTTCAATTTATTGGGAAAATGTATGACAGTAAGTAAAAACTTGGCTCAGAGGTTTTTCATTCCTAAAGACTGGAGCGCTCCCCTGCTGCTGATGTGGCACAGCTTGTAATTATATATGTAGTGCTTCTATTGCAGCACCGCAGGGGGTCTTGGAATTTAAGAGCCTGTGGTCTTACAGTAAAGCTGGAACTAATGTTAAGACCAAAAGATATGGACTTGCTGTGAATCGTTTGGGGGTTTGACCCATTTTCATTTCAGAATTTGAGCTCACTGACAAACGCTATATGTCTTATTATACCCTCACCAGAGCCTTTATTAGGTCCACCTGTTCAAGTGCTCGTTAAAGCAAATATCTAATCAAATGCATGGCAGTAACTCCATGCATTTAGGGATGTAGATATGGTTAAGATGACCTGCTGAAGTTCAAGTGGTGCATTTGAATGGGGGAAAAAAATGTGTCAGGTTTCGTATTGTTGATTGTCATTTATGCTTAGAAATATCTACTTATATATGCTTAGAGTTTTATAATTAGTTTTAGATTGGTAGAGGTTTGATCCTTAATAGTCTGCAAACTTTGCATTCCAGAGCACTCTGGGAGCATGGGAGAGGTCGTACCTTGTCTTATTGTTTTATGGTAGGATAAACATATCTATATCTGTTTTAGTCTAAGTGCCTTTTGTTTAGATGAACTGCTGGACTTCCAGACCAGCAGGTTTAGGGAAGTCCTTATGGGGTCACACTCTGACCCCAACACACACACACACATGCTTACACAACGCACAGGCAAGGTATTCTTTGTTTGTATGTATACGTCATATGTTAATGAACCTCTGTATATTCATGTAACCTCAATAAAAGAGCAGTGTTACGGGGGAGCGGACGAGAGCAACTGGGGTCAAGCGAAGGAACGGCGCTTGTCCGGTTCTCTCCCGTGCACGAGAAACATGAAGAACTTTGCCTACTCGTGTCTTGCTTTGCTGTGTAATTACATTGTCTTCAACGTTCCAGCGAATAGGTTTAAGCTACAAACCTATCAGCATGGTTGTTGGTGCCAGACAGGCTGGTCTGAGGATTTTGCAAGCTCATGATTTAGTATGTTCCAGCATAACCATCCCTAAGGTTTACACAGAATGGTCCAAAATAGAAAAAAAGACATTCAGTGAGTGTGTATCCGAGTAAAAAGTACCTCGATGACGCCAGAGGTTAGAGGAGAACAGCTGGACTACTTTAAGCTGATAGGAAGGCAACAATAACTCGAATAACCCCTTGTTACAACCAGTTTAAGGAAGAGCTTAAATTGGTAAAGCTCTGAAGGTAAAGCAAGTCAAATCTGCATGTCAGATGGGGGACAGCAGCAGAAGACCGCACCACACGTCACTCTTGTCAGCTAAGAACAGGAAACTGAGGCTACAGTTATCACTAGTTCACTAAAATGGGAATATTGGAAAAACATTAGCTGGTCAGATGAGTCTCAATTTCTAAGGGATATTTTTTGACACACTTTGGGCCCTTTAGTACAAACAGGGCATCATTTACATGACCACAGCCTACCTAGTAATACTCGGCTGGCCTCCACAGTCACTACATCATTCACATCACGGATGTGCGGCTGACATATCTGAAATCACTTTGTGAAGCTGTCACGTAAACATGGACCAGTATTTGTGAGGAATATTTCCAGCGCCTTGTTGAATCTGTACCAAAAAGAATTAAGGCAACTCTGATGACAAATCGGGGTTGAAACGGTTGCTAACAAGGTGTAACTAATGAAGCACCCAGTGAGTGTACGATTTTATTCTGTTACACTTGTACTCCTTTAAATCAACTAAACACAAAGTTAATTACGAACACGAACATGTTTACGATTGTTTCCAGTTCAATTTGTTGCCACTTGTAAAACATAGAATTGTTTTTTGCAAATACTGTTAGCAACCCAGTAGACATTTTTTAAATAAATAGCCATTTTCTTCACTGGCAGTGGAAAACAATCTGTTAGGTAGAGAAAATATAATTAAAGAGCATTTATCAGCTAATATTTTTCTTTGGAAAAGCTCAGGAGTATACATTTACTACTGGGCGTTTGGAAATAAGTATTTCCAAACGCCCAGGTTATCATACCTTCATCCCTCACTGTGTCTGCCAAAAGCTCTTTTTTTTTTTGAGTGGCTGTGCTATTTAATGGGTAGAGAACAGCTAACACAGAATATATAAAGCACTTTGTGCATTTCCACTTGCAATAAATAAAATGAACTCCTACTGAGTGACTTAATGAAATGGTTGTGAATATTTATGGCTGCCACTTAACAGGCCATAATTATGCACACACACATGCACACTCTCTCAGGTGCCTGGTCATTTCTGGTAATTTGAAACAGATTATAAAATAACTCTAGCAAGAAGCAACTTTACCTTTGCCTGTTCATTTTTCAAGTCATCCTATCGGCTGCTGTCTTGAAACAAAACCTACATCTGCATTTGTTAATACACGCTGTAGTCAATGCTTCCTTTTTACATTGATCCAAACAAGTATTCATACTAACCGGAGCGGAGCTGTCTTGTCTACCTCTGGATCGAACCATCCTTCCGAGGACCTCCATTCCATCGGTGGTGATGTTACCAGCTGCATTAATGTATTTCTCCCCGACCACTGAGCAATCCAGCACCACCTTCACAGACGTCTTGCTGATGGTTACATGGAGCTGAATGGGCAAAAAGATAATTGGTTGCATTAGAAATGCTTAGGCGGTGTGTGCCTGAAATCACTCACACCACACTATACGGAGCACTACATAGAGTTTACCATTTTGCAGGGCTGCCCAAACACACAAATAGCTACACAGACGTCAAATGGAGGTGCTGATTTTAAGTGCAGCACTGTCACAGGTGATGATCAGCCAGAGTATAAAACATCTGACTCCCTTGAGTGTGAATGTTCCAGAAGAGCGCGTCTTTTTACTTACTAATCAGTCACAATGAGTTCTTTTGTGTATGTATTTTCTAATAAAACCGGTCTAAAAGCATCCATGCACTTAAATTACCCTGTCTGAGCTGAGGGCCGGATGCCTGTGAGCTAAAACTGCCTCTTTAGAGGAAACCACTGCCAGAGCCATGAACCGTGAAATTCAACTGGTCACACAGTTAATGAGCAAAGAGGGCAGCATCATGCTGAAGGACAGGAATAAACTAGACTATTAGTGTCCGCATTATTCACAATTACGTGAACTACTTTGCTCTTTCACATTACTTAAGCCAGTTTTAAGCCACGGGACAACAAATGCATGTGTCCGTGTGTCTAAATGCATGCACAAAGCCACACAAACAAGCTACAGCTAATGTGGAGTTTGACAAAGTTCATATTCAAGTGTCAGAGACCATTCATCAGCTGACGCGTACGCGCCCGCTTTACTGTAGAACGACTTTCTGTTCTCATCCCCTGTTCTGCACACTTCACTGGGCATGAAGGGTGTGTGAGTGTGCGAGTGCTACACTTTTATGATATAAAAGATGATGAAATCCTCTAAGGTGCAGACATTTTGCCGACATTCTGTGGCATTTAGTGGTTTCAGTTCAAGTTAACATTGGTGTTTAGGGAATGAATGAAGGCCAGTGTGTGTTTGTGTGTGCAGAAAAGATGTCAGTCACTCACCTTCTGGGTGGCTGGATTTCCTAAAGCAATGACTGATTTTCAGGCTAAAGACTGATACACTCTTCCCTTCTTAACAGTGGATTCCGTGAAATCGGAATAATCGGGTTGACAGTTGCAGGAAGCAGATATTCGCTGTTTACTTGTCATTCACTGTATTTTGCACTCATGATAAACAGACAAATGTGTTTTTAACTATTTAAGAGTTTCTTTTTATAGTTTGCTTGCAGCCTGAGCACTTTTGACCAAGCACATTTAAAAAGCATTTGGTTAGGGAACACATTTGTGGAATAACAATCTTGAAACAATCGGCTACCTTGTAGTGCTGATTTAGCATTTTTAATATCTTTTTTGATTATATACATTTTTGTACCCATGAATGGTGGATGCAACAAAAAGTCTTGCCCCTGCTATCCTCTGTCTATCCAGTATCCCCTGAGGCTTAAATCAGCAGACTAGCTGACAGGTTTTTAGATTGATATTAAATTTCTTTTATTGCTTTCCTCATTGTTTGATGACTCATTAAAAAACAATCTCTAAACTAAAATAAAGCCCCTCTCCACGTATAATGCACTCATCACCAATTACTTAGCTGCTCTTGTCCTGTGACAGCTGGGATAGGCTCGAACCCCCACAACCCTGAAATGGATAAGCAATTAAGCAAATGGATGAATCAGTGTCTAAAGCCACTGAATTCACTAACATTTCATCGTCCCAGGTTGCCAAATTGCTGCCAGTATCTTCCAGTATCTATACCCTAAGACTTGGACCGGACTTGTGAAACTCTATTTTCTGTCAGTGTAAAAATGTTTAACTACACATTTAACATATCTTATTGTAAGAAAAAGAAGTGCAATTTAAATAATACATCTCTGCTGTGGTAAATGAAAGAAATCTGTCAGTGCAGCTCTTTGGACTTAAATTTAAAGAAATAAAAGTGTAAAATTACAGAAAGTAGCTCAATGGTCAGACTGTCCTGTAATTATAATTGACAGAAAATATCATTTTATTAGAACATGCAGGAACTTTTCTGTCATGTCTTAGTTGATTACTTTGGTGCAGTATAAAGGGCCAATGCTGGAGGTGTTTATTCATTTTAAAGCCATAAAATGAAATCTTTATAATGCTTTCTAATATGTTTTATATTGCTATAAAACGTAAAAATACAGTTAATATTTTCCAAAGCCATCCTATGGGGCCGATTGGTGAATTTGCAAGGCCAATTCAGGACCCCAAACCTTATGCTTGACACCATTGTCCTACGACGTGCATATGAAAGTATCATGACTGGCTA